AAAAAAAGGAAAAGAATTGAATTTTCTTACTCAATACTATTGGACGGGCGCGGTCGAATTTTTCCCATTTTTACAATAATATGACTTTATGAACAGGCAGCAATAAGCTCGGAAAGCAAAGATGTTCACAATTTTCATTATATAGATGTATGGGCGCGTGGGTTGTAGGCGCGTCCTTTCACTGGTTTAGAGTATTTACAAATTCTTTCGCAAGCGATATCATCATTTTTGAGTAAGGGAGAATGCTTACCACGGATACTGCGTACCTGCGCAGACGGACAAATGGAACGATGAACGGTCGAGCATGCTTAGCAGCGTTCCGTATATGAAACTGAACAAGAACTTATATACTTGCTAGGGCTGTGCGCTTTATAAAGGCATTGAAAAAGTATTCTGTGTAATATTGGGTAGGCGTGGTCAATTTTTCTTATTTTTGTACAGGCCTATCTACCGACAATATATTCAAATTGCTGTAGTTCATAGGTAATGAGCAATACATCATTTTTTATTACGCAGTTTGCGTAATAATGTGGGCGTGTTCTTCGACCGATTTGTCGCATTTTTAATACCATCCACCGTACAAGAACTTTCAATGGTTTTGTCCAGTTTAAAATCGATAGTTTTATTTTTGCGGTTAGGAGAACGGATATTATATAGATGGACGGACGGACAACCGACGCAGAATTTGATTCTGATGAATAATATACGTACATTAGGGGATCTTTGAAGCTTCGTTTTGGACGTTGCCAACGTTTTGAGAAAATGAATATACCCCTCATTCTTCGGTGATGAGTATAAAAATGTAATACTTTCTCATCATACTTTTCTTTATGAATGTATATATGGTCTTAATTATGATGACTAATTGTTTCATTGACATGTAGAAGAGTTTGTTTGATTTGACTTAATTAAATTTTTTTTTTAGACTGCAATAATTTTATATATAGATAAACAAATTATTTAGAAATTTAAACAATTGCTTTTTTATGTCAACATTGATAAGTGTTTGGGAAAGTTTGTTTATATGTCAAGGCCTAGATCCATCTATGATTCAGATGATAAGCTTTTTGTGAAAAAATTAAAATTATAAGTTAGAACTGACGGTGATATGTAGGCCTCGTTCGTCAAATAGCAGTTTCAATAATGCGATTGTGTGCAAACATTGTGAAACTACATGCCGGAGACGTTCAATTTTCTCGAGACAAGTAAAATTTAAAGTGAATATTATTCGCCAACAAACACGAAACTTAGGAAAAGAACAACGGATTCGTCTGAAGTTAACAAAATTTCTTAAAATATTTATGTAAAGTTTCCTTGCTTCTGAGGTAAATGGGACAATTTTGCGTACCAATGCACTAACTAAGGCAAATGCGGCAAGAATACCATGGGGTGGAAAAGTTTGTCTCAAATTTCAAGTTTGTATTACCGTAATTTTGTAGCCAAAGGAATTGCAGCAGTTAGCAAAAGGGTAAGACAGAGCGAGAGAGAGAGAGAGAGAGAGAGAGAGAGAGAAAGAAAGAAAGAGAGAGAGAAAGAAAGAAAGAAAGAAAGAAAGAAAGAAAGAGAGAGAGAGAGAGAGAGAGAGAGAGAGAGAGAGAGAGAGAGTAAGAAAGAGAGAGATCTAATAGGAAAGTAAGACTTGGCATTTATTACATTTGATGCATTTATCCGCCAATTAAAGATCGGTATCGAAAATCAGGCCAAAGACAAATAAAACTTATCTGGTTGCGTGAAGATCAAATTCTAGTAACATTTTTTTTACTTTCCATGCTTTAGGGTATTGCTATAGCTTGCATCGTGTTATGGGAAACTACTGGTCACTTTTCTAGAAATCCTTTAGTGGTTTGTGCCGCCATTGGTGGTTACACCATTATTTGCGGAGTTTTATTAATAGGTGAGTTTTCCATTTAATTAATGTCATTAATCATCTGAACATAATTGCAATTAAATTCTCTTTTCAGGTCATGTTATCAATTCGATTGTCGAGAAACGTTTAAATGCTTTAATTTCAATAATTGGTTGCATTCTGTTTGTTATATCTGGGGCTTTGGTTATTGATGAATGGCATGACAGTTCAGAGTTGCTCTTTAAAGAGCGTAAACGTAACGCCTTGGCTGCTGGCTCTCTTATGATAATCAATGGCGCTGTTTTCCTAATGGATACCATATCGATCTGCCGAACGTAAATCATTTCTAGCTCTCCTAAAGTATCAAAGCAGCAGTAATATGTGTAAAAGCTTTTCAATAACGTGCATACATATAAATGTAATCAAAATATAATTATATGTGTATTACTAATATCATATATCTTATAACTATATAAGTATTCGAAACATTAAAAAAAAAAAGAAAAAAGATTTAAGCAAATTTGAGATGAAAACTTGAAGAACCCATTCATTCTTCATATAACATATGTCATATATTTGTTAAACGTATACTTTTATATATCTTCTATTTTATATGTATTTTACTTACTCTTACTTTTATCGGCTTTTCTCTACATTTACTTCCTTTTTTGGAAAGGGGGAGAAAACCGACGAATAATAATAAAAAAAAACTTCTTTGTGTTTTATGCTCTGAAACGTTTTCATTAGGTTGCGGGCCTACATAGCTTATCTATGGGCTATATTTTATGTTTATTTGTGAACTTTGAACATTTCTTTACTAATATTGTTAATAATTAATCGCTTTAATTTTTTTTATAGGCGAGCCGATATTCCTGTAGTGCGAGATGAAACCAAGAATAAAGTAGAAATTTTTCGATTCTAACAATTTATCTCTAAATGCTTTATGACGGTTTATTAATTTTAAGGCAACATGTCTAATTCCCCTTAATTTATTTCTATCATATACTTAAGTTTAAATTCATATTTTGATTAAAAATTATCCCAATTTTTTTTTAATATAATATATATTCATATATTTTTCTTTTAATCATAGAATTTTTTTTAAATATTTTTGTTCATAAGAGTTTTCCATTTACACTCGCAAACTTTTGAAGATATCATTTTAGTTTGCTATGAGACTACCATCTTGTCGGTGTCTTCGTTTTGTCAATATCGTTATGTCAATTAGCGTTTTATACGTTTCATCGCGTCTTTAAAATAAGGCAAGAAAACAGAAATCTCTCTTGTAGTCTCGGCTTAGATTGACACCAACTTTGGCATTAAGTTTTTTTGAAAAACTTGACGTATGAAATTTTATGGCTTGCTTGGTCAACACAACAAAGTTGATCTTCCCTTTGACTTGCATATAAATTTGTTATTAAATTGCTAGACTTGGTATATGCAAATTACTTCGTTACATTTATATTAATTTGTCTGATAAGTATATTGTAATGTAATTTTCCCTTTTATACGTACCTAACGTGGGTATACTGCCGGAAAGGTATATAACACGCAGATGTAAGTGTTGGAGCTTACGTAAATTAACTTTGCAATGTTTTACGATTCATTTATCACGCGTCTCTCAGTTAACATCACGATTGTGTTCACGAAATATTTGCACATCATTGGACTCAGCTCAGGATTTGGACGCTGCTTGTAAAAGTGCTTTATTCGCTCGATTTTTTAACCTCTGATTACCAATTGTTGCAAAAGGTTCAAAAGTTTCTTAGTACCTTTACAACCCGCGTGCGGTTAGATAAAACATCAGAGCCCGTAACAGAGCCTGAAAAACTCGCAAATGTAGTTCTAATGATATCTCTCAATGCAGAAACATAGTGCTTGGAATAACTTGTTGCAACATACGATTTTATTTGAATAAAAAAGTGGACTCTCAACTCTTATCCGAAATTCTTCAATCAAGAAATCGGGAAAAGAGATTATCCAATTTGCGTATTCAATGAATATTTCCTTAAATCAGATAAATGTTCTTTACATCCGGCCAGTGATTGCAGATACACGGATCCATTGATATCCTTCCGTTTAGACCCTTCACTAAGGATGAAGTTTGGCAAGCTAAATAAAGTCGAATCCTTGAAATTTTTTTCTTCCAATTTTGTGTTACTCGGCAAACCGTCTTCAATGCTTAACAGGCGACTTCTGTCCAGTTTCCTTCAACTATCTAAACCAAGCCTTGTTTAGGATTTCGTACAACTCTGCATTAGAATAGATTTGGTTTGGCGTCTTTATCGACGATTTGATTATTTATTGCCACAACTTTGATAATTATTTTTATGCTGATGATGCGCATATTTACTTTTCGCTCCCGTATTGGGTTGTAGAGGACTTGGCTCATCGGATCACGGAAGACTTAGATCGTATTGATCGCTGGTCGAATGAATGAATAACAAAATGTTAAATTCATTTAAAAATAAAGTTATTGTTAGAACACGCTGCAAGTATGATTAGTGTCTTACAGAATGGCTTTGACGTCGAACTTGTTGCTATTGCTATATACTTTGATTTTAAAGTGAACTCTTGAGTAGTCACTCAAAGTCATGTCAATTATTTTTGTATCGTTTAATATCTGCGCACACTCATCATTTAATTTGTGGCGCATCCCATCCTCTAAGTAAGGAAAATGCAAAAGTTTGACACCTAACTACATACTTTATATATAATTATTCGATCTTATTTTATATATATCCGCCTGAGTAGCCGAAGGCGAGGAATCTCGACTAGCAAGTCAATGGTCGTCGGTTCGAATCTCCTCAAGCGCGGTAGAGTTTTTAATAAAAGCCGATAGCCTTAGATGCTAGTGTTTTTAAGGGCTTAGTCTTGGAATTTATTTCTCTGGCGAAATTAATAATAATAATAATAATAATAATAATATTTTATATATATACATGTATATATATAAAAGTATATCTTAAAAACAAGTAAAAGCACACTATTGTGGACCACAGTTATTCATATTGTGACTTTCTAAAATAGGACGTTATATTCCAAGTAGCCAAATGGTTTTGCGATCCGAAGTATTTTCAATAGGGTTCGTCCTTGCGACAATTGCAAAAATTACGATATATAAAAAGTGAAAAAAAAAAAACAAAACGGACGGATGGACTGACAAAGCTCTCCTGATATGATTATTATAAAAGAAAGTAAGTCTCAAGTCTTTCTAAGTGTTGCATACATTCCCGAAAGCCCTTGCACAAGAAGTGACGTAGGGTACAATGGAGACATAAATTTGTCATCATCTCTTCTCCCTCAGTTCAATAAGAACTTTAACATAGATAGAAAGAAAAGTCAAGGAGAATGTCCAATAAATATATATATATATATATATATATATATATATATATGTTACGGTAGTTTCACTAATTAAATCGAACTCTTATAGTGGATAGTGTATTTTAAAGTCCTCAGTTGAACTCTTTGGTCTAATTAGCTTTCAAGTTAAGATTTGCTTGATTAACTTTTATGTCATTTAAAATTAAATTTTATTAAAAAGTAGGGGATTACATCTACAGCCAAATAACTGGAGCATACTTTTAGCTGCTTACAAAAGCCTACTTGCGTTATGTTAGTTATGTTAGTGACTGAACACTTCTTTTCTATATATTACGCCTTTGTCGTTGTCCAAGTTTTTTAAGATAATTATTTTAATGAGAGCCGAAACTTATTTAGAAAAGATAGAATAGTTAAAAAATAGTTGCATATATTTTTGTAATATTATTAAATATATTATGTATTGTTAAGTGAATTGGTTTTGGTTTTTGCTTCAAAGATTTTTCTAAAGCCATTATACTAATGCGATCGAAAAGTGAAAGCAGTATCGCGGTGTAAAGAATTTGAAATTCATTTCGTCGCTGACAAACTGTTAATGAGAAATATTATTTACTGGCTATTCAACATCCAATATGGCTTCGCATACTGCGTCTGTTCTTCGAAATGTTTTCATCAGAAATTTAATTTATATCGTTCTCTAATCGCGCCATTCACTTAATTTCTAATCTATCTGACTCTTGGCTACATTCGAAACTCACAAAATTGATTGACGGACATGTCGGATCGAAAAGTTAGCATAAGCATTAGCAATTGTTTAGAATATTGCAAAAAAACTTTGTCAAGAGCGTAATCTATGTGAAGGTGACAATTGTCAATTCTCATGGGAGCAAGTTGCGGTGTTTGTCATCATTTCATTTGTCAAACGCAGTCGTATGCGCAAAATTCTGTCACAAAATACACTGTCCTTCTGTTCTTCGTCTGACCGTCTTTCTGTTTTTTTTTTTTTATTTGCGTTTAAAACTTTCGCTCCCATGAATATAATTTTTAAAGCACTGCTATGCGTGACGTTCGCCAAAACTACTTACGTGAGACGTTGTAAATGTTATTATTATCACTTTACTAGCATGCACACAACGACCAAATTATCATTCGAACTTATTTCCATATTGTTTTTCCATATTGGAACTATTTTTGGACTGAATTGGGCTATAAATTTTCAGAAATAACTTCACGGTACCGAAAGTTATAAAAGAAATAATGGAAAAATGTTCCGACATTCTGCGACATTGTCATACTTCCTTTTACATTGTGTACGTGTCTGTACATAGATCATCCCCATTTTTCAATCTCATACTCATAATCGATCAAGAAATGCTTATGACAAATATCAACTTTCCGTCGTTATTTTTGCTATTTAAAAAAATGTACCCATAAAATTGAAGGAGTTTCCCTACATCGAAAGTGTTAAACGAACGTACACTTCTCTCACCTAAGTTGAACAATTGTTTTACAATATTTCTCGTAAGGTGAAAATAGTCGTGCACGCAAGTTGTCCAAGACGATGTTAAAATTAATTTTCAATTAATACCACTAATGATTGTTAAACTGTCGCATAGCCGATCAAAGTACTAATCTATCTAATAATAATTTTAATCGCTAACGAAAGAGAGGGAGAGAGAAAAAGAAAAACAATATACGTCTCGAAAGGCATTTTATATATCCACTACGTTAAACGGTAACATCAGCCAAATGGGAGCCATTTTTACGCTGAATTTCAACATAGTTCCGAACTACATGTGTGTCTTTAATTTTAAATTTTCGTTCAACAATGATGAATGAATCGGCAAATGAATGGATGAAGAGATATGCTTTAATTGATTGATAGGATCATCGACACTGAACGTTTACGAATGCTTCAAACGATACGATATTCTTAACATACTTTTATTTTGTTTCGATGCAAGCAAGCATCATAATAATCATCAAATTGGTTTTCTAATAGAAACCAACAGTTAGATTGTGTTGCTTGCAATGTACACATATCGACAATTATATGCATAAACTACGCTCGATTATAAAAACGAAACATCTTGTCACTTGTTAGGGTGTGTTGACTTCTCTTTTTTTCTGACTTTATTTTTGTTTGTGTACGCCGCCGCGCTTGCCTCTACTCTAATAAACATAATTAGATACGGTGGCGGCCTTTACTTTTTATTGTGATTATATTATAACATTTATGTATACCGTCTCGTACATTAAATAATAAAACTGCTTAAGAAATGATAGAAATAAAAAAAAGGGGGGTTTTTTTTTTTTCTTTTTTTATGGCAAAACGACTACTTTCAGTTTCAAATTAATGTGTGCCTGCGTTTGTGTAAGCACAAATGAAGGCGATTTTCAAAATAAGGATTTTTATTTTATCGTTTGCGATATTTATCGGCTTGGTTGGTAGGTTGGTTATGTTGTTAGGTGTGCGAAAAAAGGTTTTTGGGGCAATAAGAATTTTTTTAATTAAATCGTTTGTCTATCATAACATTCACAAATGAGCAAAGCACAACTGGGCTGTGGCCAGCTTGTGCTTTACATGTTTTTTCTTTATCCTTACTCTCATTGAAATTGATTTTTCGAATGCGTGATTGACAATTATGAGGAGACAAATTCGACAAATTCATTGTGAAAA